CCAGGCAAATCCAGCCACATGCCAGGGGCCATGATGTGTCTAATAGAAAACACCTGAATGTTATTTCTCCACTAGCCCTTTGTGCATGCACAGTGCTCAGTCCTAAGCAGTGAGCCTGATGGCATAAATCTAACTTGTTGAAAGCTTTCCACCATGGACCACGATCTCTAGATCACAACTCTTTGTACAGGAGAGACAGGATCAGAGTCTCTCCTGTACAAAGAGTTCCTGTAGAAGATAGGTTGGAGAGGCCTGAAAGGGTCAAAGCACAGCTGCCTGATGGCTTTCAAGGGCAGTTTGATTCCTTGTAAAAAGTGTGAAACCGGGAGTAAGAGGCAATGTCCTAGCCTTGGCTCTGTGGTACTAGACAAGGCTTCTTTTTTTATATCTCAAGTAATTTTATCATTTATTAAATAAAAGGACCCTCTGACACTTAACAATGTATAAACTTTGGTTGAACCATAAGTTTGGGAATCCTCAAGTCCTAATCTTAATTAACTAAACTTATTGCATTCCTCAGGACAACCAGTATCACATAGACTTGAACCAAATGTTATTTCTTGAGTGTTTTTGTATCCAAAAGGAAGAGTATTTTACACCTGAGATACATAGCAACATTTCAACCTCAATATTTCTTTTCAATGTATGCAATAATTTTATTGTTTCTTTCTTTTTTGTTTAATGTTTGCTATATGCCTTAAGTAATATGTATTTAACTGTGAAAAAGATAGCCTTCTGCCAATTGGTGGAGACATTTAATCATGCACTTATTAGGCACATGAGAGAAACACCTAGTTCTTTCTGGAAAAACCAGAATGAGTTCCCAAGGAGGTCAAAGCTGAGAACAACGTCAAGCACAATAATAGGCTCCTTAAGAATTCAGGAGTGAATAAAACAGTCTGACCTTAAGAGATCCATAGGTTAAGAGAGAAGAGAACTATTAAAGTACTTAGTCCTCAAACAACAAGCTAAGGGTTCTACATGACAGATGATAGAGCAACTAACAAATACAGTGGAATGGCCATGACGGGGTTTCACAAAGAAGGGGGCATTTGAACCTGAGCCCAAGGAATTAGTAGAAATGCTCCAAGGGGAGATGATGGGGAAGATGTCCTAGGGAAAAATAAAGAACATGAACAAAAGCATAGGGGTGTGGGCACAAGTAATTAGCTCTGAGCCTGGGAAAAGAAGCAGAGTGCACAGAGAGTAGGCACACCTCAACAATCTAATTTGATGCTTCTTCCTTGATACGGAATAATAGTTCTGCCTGATACACATCTAATTGTCAATGCTGGCATCAGAACTACTTCCAAAAAGAGCTATTCCAGTGCCATTTACAAATACATATTAGAAGAACCAAGTTTGAAAGATAAGATAGGGCAGGGCTCATTAGTGGAAATCTAAGAGCAAGTTGTGTAGACATCTTATGCAACAATCTAAATTCCATAGTAGATGAGGTCACCTATAAAAGCTCTATAAATGGGGAAGGCTTTGGGTACATTGCAATGCTTGATCTTCACCAATAGCCAGTGCTGCAAACATGGCTGTCTCAGTGCTTCGGATGACCAGTGTCCTGGGACTGCTTATATTTATCTTGACTTGCCATGCTGGTAAGTGCTTCCAAATGCATTTCATGCAGTGTGCAGTAGTTAGCCATGATTGGAGGAAGTTGGTGGTACTGATCCAGAACATAAAAGAAATATAGGGGGAGGGACCTTTAGGCACTGGACTGGGAGATAAGAGGCAGATATTCTAACAAAAAGAAAGTAAGATTTTTCTTTAAATGTGTTTCAGTTACAGCCTCTATCCTCCAAGAATGTATGAAGTCCGAATAAACTTTTTCATATATATTTATGTGATATAGCCAAACTATTATTTTATAAATCCCTCGAGAACCAGGGGTGTTTATTTTTTCATGATTATAACTAATAATGTTTAATGATGAAGAATATATATTCTGGAATATGACTCCTAAGCCTGGCTCTACCACTAGTCAGAAATGTGACTTCAGACATGTTATTTGATCTCTCTGGACCTTACATGTAAAGGAAAATGTCATTAGTTAACTTCCTTATAAAGTTATCATGAAAATTAAAGAGAGAAAACAAACTGTAAAAGTATTTGGTCCATAATAAACGCCCAATAAATATTAATTATTCTCATGCATTATATCACTTGATTCTCATAATAATACTCTTATGTAAAAATGCAGTTTTATCATTTCCCTTTTTGCAGGTTAATAAACCAAGCTTGCAGAGAGAAAGTTACTTGGGCATAGACACAGGTAGCAGTGGCACACCGGGGCCTGAAGCCTAAATCTCTCTATTCTTTCCATTATAACTAAGCATCTACTTCTTTCATGTCTGTTCCAAGCATGTAGAAAACTACAAGGCAGCATGCAGAATTCTCATTAATTTATTTTTGGTCTGCAGAAGTTGGTGAGCTCTTGACTTGTCTCTATTCAGAAGGATAGGCCAGGGAACACGGACAGTGCACATACTGCCTTTTAGACTCTTCTAAATGTAATTTGGCAGAACTCACATGCTCAGCCACACACTGTCCCATGGCACAACACACAGGCAGACACTCCAACGGAATTACTGTAGAGATGGCCTCAGAGGCTACTACGTCCATCTACTCCAAAAGTAATCACCCCTGGTAAAGTGAAAGGCGACCAGTCCCATGAACTCCGAAAGTGGTTGAATTATTTCATGGCTTTATCTTCAGTTTCTTCATCTGTAAAATGGAATAACTATCAACTTTATGAGGTCAAATGAACATGCTTTTGTAACACTTTGTAAACTATGAAAACCGTACAAGCATCAGCACTACTATATTTTTTCAGAACTTGATGATTACATGAACAAAGAAACTCAATAACATAGTTAATGTGAACAAAGCCTACCCCTATTATATTTAAAAGAGAAAATATTCAACTCTTGGCTTTGATGATTTGTTTTTAGAATGCCAAATTTCTCAATTTTATTATTATTAATTTTTGTTTCGTTGTCCAACATTTTCAATTTTCTTAATATTTTAACAGCATTTTAAAAATTTTCGTAATGTCCTAAAGCACTAGAGGAGAAAGCTACTATGAACTATTTTGTTATTATTATTAATAATTGTAATAATGTAGCAAGCATTTATTGTGGATTTACCTTGGGCCTGGTACTATGGTAACTGGTATATATATGATATACATGAAAGATAGATGAAATATCTTTTAATCCTGACAATAACACAATGAGGAAACAGAGTAGTTAAGTATTATGTGCAAGATAACACAGTTAATTTTTTGAAGACAGGAATCAAACTCGGATATGTAGGACTCCAAAACATACGGTCCACCACATCCTAATACCTCTCAATATATACATATATACATGGTCCAAGGACTGGGGCCAAGGATCTGATTGTCACACATGCTCCATCCAGAGCACACAATCAGTGCTCCTTGCATATTGCAAAGCTACCAAAAAGCTGAAAAATGGTTATGCAAGCAGACAGATTGGAACACAGGAGAAAAAGGATTCACTTTTCATGCAAGGAACTGCTGTGCTGTTCCCTGATAAGTGTCTTCAGGGCACAATCATTTAAAGGCAGTAGTATATCACATAAACAGCGTGGTCTATGGAGTGAAAAAAGAATTAGGTCAAAACCTGGCTCAGCCACTTTCTAGATGTGCGATTTTAGGTGAGCCATTTAATTTCCTTGAGTGTCTGTTTTCTCTCCTGTAAAACTCTAGTATCGTCACTGAACTGAATAAGGATGGAAGCACTATCCAGTACCTGCATAATAGGCACATCACAAACATGAATTCTCATTCCCTCCCATCCCCGTGAGGAAAACAAGGCAATTCTGATCACTGTGGTTGCCCTGCACTTTACGTGAGGGTCGGGTCACGTCTCTATATGTCCATTTTTACCTTAACGCTTAGCATATGCCACGTATATAATAGTAGGGCTCAAAAAAAATACTTGAAGGAAAAGCCAACAGCTGAATGAAGGAATACTTGGTGATTACCATATTAGTTTTGGTAATAGGTCCCAGACTGGTGCTTCTATCAACTCTTTTATTGTGGCGTAGTAAACAATAAATGTTCGCAAAATCGAAAGCCATTTTTTCACTAAGAGTTTCCATTTTGGGATGCAAGGCTTCTAATATAAATTGACAGCCTCTACACAAAAAGTTAGTTATATCCACTTTATTCAGTCATGGGATACATTTTCTAGAAGTTGGGGTTTCCTAGGTCAAAATTTGTGGTGGGGTTACCTGATAAAATATGGGAGACCTAGTTAAAACTGAATATCAAATAAATAATGAATTTTTTTTTTTTTTTAGTTTAAGTATGTCCTAAATATTGCATGGGTCATTCTTATGCTAAAAAAACTATTTGTTGTTTATCTGAAATTCAACTTTAACTAGGCATCCTGTGTTTTTATTTACCAAATCTGGCAGCACTACTTGTGAGGCTGTTCACAAAATGAAAAGATGAAGTCCTACTTAATCTTTGGTTTCAGTTGGGAGGCCATATGTACCTAACTGCCACTTTTTCATTCCTTCTAATTCCCTCAACCATTCAGACCACTAGCTAAAACCAGACTCCCCCAAGGGAGCTTGCACATCACCAGCCTCACTCTGCATCCTCGGTCTCATTCCAAAGGGCAGCCGAATAAAGAGTCAGGGGTAAGAGACCTACAGTTATAGTTTCAGCCTCTTCTCTTACTGTTGTGAGTCTTCTGCGAATCACTTTATCTTTTCAGTTCCTTAGCCCAGTAAGTTAAAAACTACATATCCCATGAGACTGGTCAAGGATAAAATTACACAGTATTTTTTAAATCATTATCTCCAAAACTATCAGCTGATGTACAAGTAACATCTCCTCATCGTCATTGTTACACTACTTTCTTTCAATCTTGTAACACACTCGTGGTTAGGTCACAACTTTTCTGTCAAAGACTATGCAGTTCATCACTGAGTGCTGAAGAATCCAGATTTTAAGATCAGTCAGACATGGGATTGAAGTCTCTTTCTGCCACTTACTAACACTGTGACATTGAACCACTTCCTAAAGCTCTCTCAGATTCCATTTCTTTATCTTTAACTTGGCATAATAATTTTGCCTAACCCCATAAGATTATTGTGAGAATAAAATGAGACAATGCACGTCGATTTCCTGTCATAGGTATGTGCTAAACGAATACTACTCTTTACTATTTCATCCTTATTATTATCATTATCATGGGCCCAAGGATTACATGGAGAAAGAGACATGAAATCAGGCATTCTGTATTTCAGTCCTGGCACTGGCATATACAAGCTGTTTAACTCTGGGCCGAAGTAACTTAGCCTTCATGAGCCCATTAAGTCTTCTCATCCAGGAAGGGAAACAACATCTACCAAAGAGTTACTGTCTATTGGTCTGCTCGATTGTTTTCAGGAATAAATGAAATAAATGCATGGGAAGATTCTCACTGGGCAGGTGTTAAATATTAATAAATGCAACTATAGGAGGCTCCATAGTTAGCGAGTGGTGGTGTAACGGGCGCCGGGGGGCTCCCTACAAAGAGAGGCTTCTCTTTCTCGGTGCTGAGAAGCTCCTCCAAGATTCTGTTGTGTTTTTCAGATGACAAACCAGACGACAAACCAGACGACAAACCAGATGACAAGCCTGATGACAAGCCTGATGACTCAGGCAAAAAACCAGAGCCAGAGCTCCCCAGTTTCCTACACCTCTTGGGCACAGAGATCATTGAGAACGCGGTGGATTTCATCCTCCGCTCGGTGACGAGAGAAGAACGAACGTAAGCGCTGAGACAGCCTTGCTTTTGTCCAGTTCGCTGTTGGCAATGACCACAAGGCATTAAAACCAGTGAAAAACAAGTCCTGCACCTGCCGATGTATTGTTTTAATTGTGAAGTGCTGCCCTATCTTAAGCTCTGTTTGCACCTGCATGAATTTCCCTGAACTCTTTTGGGATGAGCCTGTTCCCCTCAAGTGGTTCTATAAACATATACTTTTTAATCTCAGGACCAAGTAAGGGGGATGAAGAGCACCAGACCAGGGGACGGAAAGCCAGGTTCTGGTCTTAACACAGGTGCTACTCTACTGTGTGATTTCGGGCAAGGCGCTCCCTCTCTCTGGGTCTCAGTTCGCCCATTGGTAAAGTTAAAGGAATAAAGCACCATCCAGTGCAGGCACCGCAGTTCTTTGGTGAGAGTGGTGGGTAATTGTGTGTTCGTTAGTTATAGTTGGGATGAGTCCTGCCTTTATTCTCGTTTGAGTAACTCAGGAGGGTTAGCAGAGATAGTGGCTAATCTCTTCTTAGAGACAATCTACAGACTGTCTCGTATGAGTGTTTTAATCGTGAGGGACTGCCCTGGTGGCAGATTACACACCCCAGAATTTTACCAATGTTCTCAATCTGCTTCTAAGCCCCTCATACATCTGATTCTGGCCTATAAAGTTGTGATTTTTACTTCTACTGCACCCCATTCTTCATTTTCCCCACATTAATCTTCCCAAATTCAGCTCTCCAGGATAGAATTTGTTCTTTTCAATTTCCAGGTACTTTCAAACTCTACCTCTCTGAATCTCTGCTCTCTAATTCTGTCCTTCATAGATCTCTAAGCAGAGTTTGACAAAGTGTGGTCTCTTTCCCACCTGCTTCAGAATTCCCTGGAGAACGTAACACAAAATGCAGGTTCCCTCATCCTATCTTGCACTTTCCTGGGACAAGGCTAAGGCTATGCTTTTTCACAAGCTTTCAAGTGATTCTGATATACAATAAATTTTGAAAGCCCTTGAAGGAGTGTGCCTTAAAGATCCACATAGCCTTTGAATTGGTATTCGTATTTTGTGTAGATGTGAATATTTGCATCTTTCTAGAAAAATTGCTTTTTACTTTCATTAGATTCTCAAAGGGGTCTATGAAATAGTATATTAAGAACTATTTCTGTATAGAAATAATCAGAGGTCATTTTGTAATCTCGAATCCGATTAAGTCAATATATAACGCAGACAGGAATCTATGTACAATCCTCACGCGCAAATGTTGAAACTTATAGATTTTTATTTTTGTATCGTTTTTTTCTGTGGTGGTTGCCTTTGCAATTGGTAAATGAGGAAACTGACAGGCAAACCATAAGAATAAAACCCATATGTACAAAGTACAGATCAGACTCCAGTTGAACTCATATTGTTATAAATCACAAGCAAGGGGTTGGAACAATAATAGATCTTTTGATTCTTCCTCTGGGGAATTCCTCAAATATAAAATAGAACTTTTTTTTTTCCTCTGTTCACCCTGAAAGTTGGCTACCTGAAATACCAAAGAGTTGCTGTCAGCTCTGGGTTCAGAAAAGGCAACTCATCTTCCACCATTTTCTCTTCCATTATATTCTGAGTAAATGGTGTTCTTTCTGTTCCTGAAACTTACAAACATTTCAGGCTCTCTGTCCTTGCTTTCATTTCTGTCTTAAATACTCTTTCCTCTTCTCACGGCTAGTGCTTTTGTCCTTCAGTTCATTAAAAGTCACCTCCTAGAAAACTATTCTAAGCACTAATATTGTCTTCTTTCCTTCCTTGGTTATTCTCTATCACTTTACCTTGCCATGGTGTCATTATAACATATATTACCATCTCAAGTGATTTATTTTTAGTCATGTAGCTATCTGAAAGGAGGGACTGATCTATTTAGCTTGTCGTTACAGCACAGTACCTTGTAAGCTGTATCACGCACTCTATCAAAGGGAAAGCCTTAAATATAAGCCGGGGCAGAGAGAATGGAAGGAGACCATTAAGAAGTATTCCTAAGCACTTAATCTGTACGAAGTGAGGGCAGGAATTGTGAAGGAACATTCTAGACTGTAAATCTCTTCTCAGAGAATTTGCAGTTTTTATGATAAGATGACATGAGCAAAATCAATGATAAAATGCTAAATAAGATAAATGTCAGTTAAATATCACAGGTAATTTCTAGAGAAAGGAGCTGTCACTGGGGCTTAGCTGTCACTAAGCACAGTGCTTATGGCAAAGGTGAGACACAATCTGGACCTTAAAGGACTCTGAAATTTGATTAAAAAGAGAGAAGGACAGAAGTGATAAACTGCAGTGTGGGTCCCAGGTCTGGCTGTGATCCAGGCTCATGGCTAGGGACAGAACTCTGGATTTAAAATGTTACAGTAATGTAGTAAGGCGCCTGTGCCTAACTTATGCAAGTATGACTCAGCTTATTGTTTATTACGCATGTGTGGCTGAATGCCACTGTTGTTCTCTGACATATATAAAGCCCGTGCAGTCCCCTAGCAAAAAAAGTGCGCCCTCTGACATATATAAAGCCCATGCAGTCCCCTAGCAAAAAAGTGCGCGCTCCCCATAATAAAGTTGGTGCCTGCCATTTCATTCTCATGTCAGCTCTTCATGCGTTTTTTCAACTGGACGTCTCACCACCAAAGCCTTCCCTTCCTTATCAGCTCAGGGCTGTCATGCAGAAAGTAGAAATTTTGGTTTATTTACTTCAATATATCTGATGCCTAAGTACTGCGTCAGGCACATAATAAATGCTGGATATGTATTTTTAGGACAGTGAATCGATCGGCTCATTCCCTCCACCTGCTCCCTCAACATGCATTCTAGATACTGTAGAGCTATGTAAACCAGTTTCCAGTCACCTTTGAGAAGCCTACAATTCTTGTGAATTTTCCTCCACCGCCTGGGCTTTCAGGACAAGACATTTTTCTGGTTCTCTTCTTACCTCTAGCCATTCTTTCTCATTCTTTGTATGACTTTTCTTCATGCATCTGCCTCTTAAACATCATTGTTCCTAAAGGCTCCAAATGTAGCCTGCTTGGTTTTTCACACTGGGAATATTACTTAGAATCTAAAGAGTTTCGATTTCAGATGTCTATTGCACTCTTTTTCCTGAGCTACAGTCTGAAATGACTACTTGCTACAAAACCCCATCTAGATCTTCCATCAACACCTCAAGTTCAACTGATCTAAATCCAAGCCGCTCATCTCACTTACGTACCTGCTCCTCCTCTGGTGTCCTTATCTCAGTAAGTCACATCCCCTGTCACTTAAAATCTAAAACCTCAAGGTCTCCTTGGACCCTTCCTGCTCATCGCCACCTTCACCCAATTGTGGAATATTCTATCCTTAACTTTTTTACTATACCATTCCTTTTCTTTAACTCCACTGACTCGTTGGCCTAGTCAAGTTCTTCATCATCTCTTTTCTGAGATCTTTTATTAGATTTGTAATTAGTTTCACTGTTTTTATCTATCTTCACTCCAATCCATCCACTAACCTACTATCAGAGTTACATAGCAAAAATGCATATTTGATTCTGTCACTGCTATGCTTAAAACCCTTTTGTGAATTTCCTTTGCCTACAAAAGCAGAGCAAGTACATTCGGTTGATATTAAAGGCTCTTCCCTGATGCCAACATATCTTTCAGTCATCTCTCTCGCTCCTGCGGCCAAGCACCTGATGCCCTAATGATAAATGGTTTCTGTTTCAGAGCAGACCTTGTTTGTATAAATCGCCAATATTTTTGCACATGCTTTTCTCTCTTTCAGCAATGCCTGGCCTCGACCCCAACTCCCAAACCCATTCTCTTCATCTGACAAGTCTAATCATTTTCTGAAGTTCCACTCAAAGACAAGCTCTGTGAAAACATCACAGAACCCTACAGTTAAAAAATTCAGATACTTATGCTCTGGGATTTCATAATGCTTTGTAGGAACATTTATGACAGCTTTTTTCCCCTCGTTGTTTTAAATTACTTGTATCTCAATGCATCTGTTTTCTCCACTAGACTATATATAACCTCCTCGCAGGCCTTATTTATCTTTTACCTGTCAGAGCTACTCCGCACCCAGTCCTTGAACAGTATAGTGGCTCTGGAACTGATTCATGATTCTGGAGATCTAAGTTTTAGACTTTGCTTTGTAGTTTACCAGCCATGTGACTTGGACAGGTTGTTTAATCTCTCTGAGCTTAAAAATATAAAAATTCATTCATGTTTTCCATTCGATAAATATTTATTAATTTATAGTATATGCCTAGGCATTGTTCTAGGTGCTGGGGATATATTACTGAATAAATATATTGAAATATATGGGTATATGGAGTTTATATACGAAGAAACCTAACTAATAGGTTTGCAGATTCAAAGAGGTAATTATGCATAAATGGCTTTTCAACCTTGAACTATTATGAAAATCTTTGATCTTATTTCTTTATGGCATAGGAAAATCTGGAGAAGAAAAATGTGGCTCAAACATTATAAGACACCCTAGTGATCATGCTAACATTTCTATTCAGTTTAAATTATAATTCATATTTTTCTCTTTTTTTCTTTTCAAGAGGATTTATGGAATTTGACGATAAGCAAGAACATTCATCAAAGTGACCTCCCAGGTGATTTTAACTTACAATTTTCAACTAAAATAATAGTATATGGGACAAAGAAAAAAGGGTCTGTCTGATTTTATTAAATGAATTTGGATGCCCTTGCCTACCTAGCAGCAAAAAAGGTATATTTTGTTTTGTTTTGTTTTTCTTTGTTCTTGCTGGAGTTTTTAAAGATTAACTTTAAACATTTTAAAAATCATCTTAAAGATGATAATAACATAAGGATTAAGGGAGGAGGCACAATTGTGGAGTGAAACAAGCACTAGGATTTAGGAGACCTGATTCTTGTCACAACTCTGTTAGGAACTTGTTTTGTGTACACCCAGCCTATGAAATAAGGGGATTATATGCACTAAGATCTAAGAGACCAAGTAATCGTGCAATTTAAGTCACTCACAAGAAGAGTGAGATTTGCTGAACCTAATTGTATGGGCCCAAGTTATGAGGGAGGAGGAAAGGATATGAACTCAAGCAGCCTGATTCCAGAGTCTGTTCTTTATCACTAAGTGATAATGCTACTGGAGAACACAGGAGAATATTGTAGGAGGAGGCAGTGGAAAATGATGATTAAGCTATTTGACCTTAGACATGTCTCAAGGTGCCCACAGAAATAAACCACTGCTCCTTTGATTAGCTGAGTTACCTTATTTGCATCTCCAGGAGGCATAGACTTTCCCAACTTCCATTTCACATCTGATCTGGGAATGCTCTATTTCCCTACTAGCTCCATTTCATAGCTTGGGTGTGATTAGTATATAAGCTCAGAAAGCCACTATCAATCTATACCAGAACTTAGCTTACTCTTTTCCTAAGCTTCGAAGGATGGAAATCAGGCTTGGGGCACTGGAATTAAGATTTGCCCAACCCAACACTCTCAATTCTCACCCCAAAGCCAACTAAGCTTCTAAAAACACTCACTTATGTTTGCATTTTTCCATTCCCATCTTCTCAGAGAGCAGCCTACCTCTTGTTGCAGGTGTCCTAACCCTTTGCCTTCATTCAGGCTACTGGTATATACCTCTCCCCATTGGTACCTATGCCCCAAATTCTTGGAGTACCTTCCTAGAGGCTCAATGTATGAGGCAGTCCAATAGGCAGACAACGTGAAAGAATTAGGAAGAGTAAAATGCATAGAAAAGTAAATTTAACTTCTAATTTGACTACTTATTGATTATATGACCATGAGGAGGTTACTTGGACTTCTTGAGCCTCCCTTTTCTCCACATATTTAAAATGTGAGGGACTTAATTGTTTCAGATCTTAATGTCAGAATTTATCTATACTTAAAAAGGTTTGAATAGATTCATGAACCAATAGACTCTAAAGGGCAAGAAGAAATGGCTCAATCTAGAGACCAAAAAAAAAAAAAAAATGGGCTTGAGAGAAGGAAGCCTCTAAGGCAGAGGTTAAATTTTGTATGGTTTGATTAGGTGTATCTCTTTAAACTTCAGTGAGGGTGCATTTAATAAGTAGCTTTAAAAGTTTCATTTGTATGATAATTGCCTCATCTAATCAAAAGCGAGTCATCACATTAGATGCCAGTGATTCACAGAAATGCCTGTTTCTCCAGTATAAAATATTTGGCTAAAGTTCTAAATTATTTCCTAGATTGAGACAGATAGATATCCCATCTTTCTCCTACAACATACACCTCTTTCCTGTATATGCTTTTAGTGCTTATTTAATCTATGCTTACTATGTGTCAGATTCTGCCAGTGCTACCAAGATGAGTAACACTGCCCAGCCACTGAGAAATTAACGGTCTAGGCTATCACTTAGTATAAGGTACCCCAGGACTGTGGAGGGAAATGATAATGTTATGTATAAAAGTTTCTTGGACATGCATTGAAGAAAGGATATAAAAGGGAATGTCTGGAGGAAGAGGTGGGCTTTAAGAGGGCTCTACAACAAAAGCGAACTTCTACATGCATTCTCAGATGATGTGTAGAGAGGGGAAGGTCTCAAAAACAAATCACTCAATATTTGGACACCTGAGTCTATTGATCACATGAGCATGATTTCCTTGCATTCATAGATTTACAACCTTAACTCTTGTTGCCCTGCATCACTTAAAATCATCTGTGTCTTAAGTCATTTGACATCTTACAATATAAATTTCCTTTCTCGTGTTAAAAATAACCTGATAAACCTTACTAAACTATTAAGATTATCAAACTATAAGATTATCAGTAAAAGATGAGAAAGTATTTTATGAATTCTTCATTTCTATATACATTCATTCAATTAAGAAAAATATACTATGGACACTAGATCACATGCTTAGACCTGCTGAGTTAGAACTTCTTAGGAATAAGTAAATTTAATAGGTAATTCACATGTAGCTAATGAGTAAAATTGCAGTTGGGCATGACGTCATTCAGTATCCACTCCATGAAGTCTTATGGCAAAAGATTCTTTTAGAATTTCAGGAGGGAAAAAATGCCTTCCCTAAGGACTGCTTCCTCTTTTCTGGTAAGATTTATGTAACTTGGTCTGTTTCTTTTTTTCCTCTCTAACTGGAAAGTCAAAGTAAAGCTGATGTCTCAATTTATGTCTATGTTTAACCTCTGTGCTTTCTTTCCTCATCCCTGTTACTGATTCTTGCCCTATATATCCTGCATTTTTGTTTTTGTTGTCATTGCTTATTTCCTCAAATATGGATTACAGTTGCTTTCATTAAAATCATTTCACATTCTAAAGCACAAAGGCATAAAAATCTTTAAGAAAAGATTAAAAGATCTTTGTATTTTTCTTAAATCTTAAGCCCTCTCTAGCTAGTGATTGTTTCCTTCTCTCCGGCCTGTGTTTCTAAGGAGACACCTTCTTGGCTCCAGAATAAGTCAAGGGCAGCCAAACCCTGCTATTCTAGTTCTGCTTCACAAGTCTTTCATGACAGAGGCCTCAAAGCATCACTCAGCAAGTTCTCAGCAAGCTGAAGGCCCTGACTTCAACCAAATACAGCTCATTTTGAACACCCTGACTTTGTATTTTTGCTTCTAGAAGTCAGAATGAATGTGTCCTCTTTGGAGTCCCATATCCTAGTTCGTTGAGAAGATTTTTGTTGGTGGTAGTAATTTTTCCTGAGCGTATTTAAAGTATTGAATGCTACAAAAACAGTAAATATATAAGATTATTAGCCAGAATACTCAAAGAACGGTTCGAAATAAGGAAACTAATCTCAGACAAACAAGTCCAAAGTCGCAGCAATGATAAATGATTTAAAGAGGCTTTTAACCTTACTCCAAAGAACAAGCTTTTAACTCCTAAAAATGTATGAAGTTTCGAAGTTAAAAGTTTCACGTCTTTTATAGAAAGTGTTTCAAAAATATCCTAGCCCACTCTCCTGGACTGGTGAACAAAATACTGACCTACTTTAAAAAATAATAAGGTTAGTGCTGTTCCACTGAGGCCTTATTATTCTCATAAAACAGCAGAGTGTCAGGGTGGAAGAGTCTGTGAAAAGTCTAGGGCAGCCCTGCCATTTGTCCTGTCACCTCATCACACAGACATGGATCCTCAGTGGCCATTGCTGTGGTCCTTGCCAATTAGTCACAGAGGATCGTACCATTATAAAATCTGACCCAGATGAGCCAGTAAAAGATTAATAATGATGCTCAATAAAATAGAACAATTATGAGAATACATTTTAATAAAAGTCACATGAATGTCTTTGTGACCATTATTTAGTAGCATAAGGGTGACTTGAACATAAGCACTGTGATATTGTAACAGTCGATCTGGTAACTAAGAGTGCTACCAAGTGACTAATAAGTGGGTAGTGTATATGATGTCGATATGCGGGACAAGGGATGATTCACATCCTGGACAGGAGAGAGCAGGACAGAGTGGGATGGCACAAGATTTCATCACAACACTCAGAACGGTGCAATTTAAAACTGATGAATTGTTTATTTCTGGAGTTTTTCATTTTATATCTTGGATCATGGTTACTGAAACCACACGAAGCAAAACCGCAGGTAACGGGGGACTGCTGCACACACAACGGATTCAAAAGATCACAGAAGACCTGAAAGTCAAATAGGTGATGGAGAGGCAGCACCTTAGAAACTGGTATCAGGAGGAAGCCACTACCAACCTGAGCTGGAGAGAAAAAGAAAAGAGATGGTGTAACCAGAGCCAGCAGCTGGAGTCACCTGGCAAAGGCTGGAACCAATGCACACCTACCCAGCAGGACCTGGTGGCTCAAATGTGCTACAGGCACTTCCAGAGGCTTCTCTCAAATAGACAGGGAGGGGAGGCCGCACTCTGGCTTTCTCCTTTTCCCACCTCCTGTCCCCTGCCTGGGCCTCCCAGAATGCTCCCAGAATGCAAGCCAAATATTAGCTTACCTGGAAATCTGAAAAAGACAGCCTGCAGGGCTCAGCTTCATGCCCCGTCTTTCCCCTTGCACAGAGCAGAGCAGGGGAAGGGTGGGAAATGGATCCGAGAGCAAACAGTTCCAAGACTGGCACAAGATCAGGTCTGAAGGCAGGCTATGGCAGAAGCTCCAGGTAGGAAGAAACTTGATTTTTCATTAAGGCATTAAAGTGTTAGCAGCAAAGAGATTGAGCTATCTTTTCAGTATGGCTGGGGCTAGAGCACAGGTGAAGAAAGGAATCTTGATGAGACTAGACAGGTAAACAAAGGCCAGATCATGAGGGGTCTTGCATGCCATGCTTAGGAGCTTGAAACCTATTTTATCTGGTCATGTATAAACAGAACTATATCTTAGAAAGATAATTCTGGCATCATTATAGATGGCGGCTTGGGGGAAAGGAAAGGATCGGTCAGAACCCATTTGCCAAAGTCCGATATAGTCAAGGCCTAACTGGTGGAAGGTTCTGTGAAGCTGTGCAGTGGCCCTCCCGCAACTACAAACTTAATGGAAACTTGCCTCTGGTGATATTGGCTCCAAACCAAAGAGGCTTATGAGACCCTAGTCTTGTCAGACAATTCTTTGAAACGTCTTTGATATTTTATGTTTTAAAATTTCTTTAGACGTAAGAAAATAGCATAAAAGGTTTGGAAATACTGTCAGAGAAAGGACAGTTTCAGACAATGGAGATATTTAACGTAGAGGGGAAGAGAGGAAATTGGAGCTATGAGTTCCCTTTAACAACAGGCTCTCCAGAGTTTACGACCCAAGGGGAAAATTATACAGTTAGGCCCTTCTGAATAGAGCCCCCAAAACAGAAATAGGACAAACTGAAATCTCTTCATTGTTTTATTCATTCTTTTCAGGGATCACTGCACTTTAGGATGGGAAGTTTCGGCCAGGGAGGAGGGGACCGTCATCCTCCTTCCACCTCCACCCTCGCTTTATCCCGACGTCACACCAGATGCGACAGGGCTTCCTGAAAGACAGAAGGACAGTAATAAACATAAGAGCAGCTTACATGTAATTAGCGCGTTTCCAAAATAGTCACTCTCCTATTTAGCACCATTTTACTGATGGGAAAACAGAAGCTCAGAGCGGTTACGTCTAATCCAGAATCCGAGGGCTAGGAAATTGCGGAGTCACAGCTAGAACACAGGTCTCTCCCGTTCAAATATCCCTACTAGAAAAATCTAGATATGCAATTTCCTTGATGTTCCTGGAGATGCAAAGTTTATGTGAGCACAATCAGTAAGGGAGAAACACACATTCGCAGCGAGGAGAAGGGCGAGGTGGGAGTGGGGGGGGCAGGGCGGGTACTCAGGGTGATGAAGCCCTGCCCTTCGACAAATCGGCCCCACAGGCTGTAGTTACCAGCAGTTTCTCCACAGCCTCAGAGGCCTCTGGGGTCAGCACATCCACACTCTTCCTGAGCCCTTCCAGAAGGTGCTCAACAGAAATGCCCAGAGTATTAAGAAGAAGCTTTAACGGATCCTTGAAGGGGAGAATGTCGTCCAGAGGTAAGGCATCTTTGACAGGAGTCAGCACACTGCTGACGGGGAGGGCAGAAGCTGCAGAGCAAAAGAGAGTCCAAGTGAAACAGGAACATCCAGCTTCTATGACCTCGGCACCCTCCACGCTGTCCACCAAGGGCCTCAGTCCAGCCCCATCACCTTGATGTCCCACGAAAACTTCTGCCTCGGGGCCTTTACAAATGCTGTTCCAACTCCCTAGAACTTTCTTTCCCCAGAGAGCTACAGGTCTTCCTTCCTCGCATTATTCGATGTGTTCTCAAGTGTTACATTCTCAGAGAGCTATCTACAATGGCTCCCTTGTCGCCCTCTGTCTGTGTTTTTTTCTTACCATTACCTAAAAATATTAAATCTTTTTTTTTTTTTTTTGCCTTCATCCTCTCACTAGAATGCAGGCTCTGAGAGAACATGGCATTTGTATTTTATTCACTACTGTACTCCATTCCTAGAATAGACTCTAGCATGTAGTAAGCACTCGAAAGATACTGGTGATCAACTGACTAGGCATATATTTTGCATGTGGCTATCTTCACAGCCCACAATTGTGAGACCAAAAGGGGAGATGGCATGATGAATTTCCACCTGGGCACATGAATGAAGCCGACCATAGCCCAGGAAGCTGCTTCAAACTAATTCAACTCCATGTTGGAAATGTAATTAAGCACCAACTCTATGCCAGTTGGTGCAGCTACATAGATGAGTAAATCAAGAATACTCCATTCAGAGAACTCATACAGTCTGGTGGAGAGTGAAGATCTATATACACCACAATGTGGCATGGGCTATGTTAACATTATGGACAAAGCTCTATGGAAACACAAAAGAAGGGATGACTAATTCTAATGTGGGAGAGTGCTGCAGGAATTGTCCAGAAGCCAGAGCTGTGTCTTAAGGCAAATGTCAAGATCACGAGGTAATAAAGGAAGCAGCATTTTAAAAAAGAACAAAATGAACAACAGTACTGAGATGTTAAGATGCATGTGTATATACACGATGGTGACTCTTCTGCCCAGAGTGGCTAGAGTGCAGAATTTCACTGGGTATGCTCAGGGGGGATATAGGTGAGGCTGTAAAACTCAGGTGAGGTCAGACTTTTGAAAGCCTTGAATGCCATACTAGTGAGTTTCAGATTTTTTTTTTTTTTCCTGAGGGTAGTGGAGAGCTAGCAACGCTTTTATATGAGACACCTGCATTTCATGTCTTCAGTTATAGAAAGATAACTTTCACATAGACAATGAATCAAAGGTAAAGCATGAATGGAAAAATATGTATGACATTTTTATAAAACACATGCATGGGTATGTAAACGCACATGTACATGATCTTACACGTAAGAATACACGACCTCCTGCTAGCTAAGACCCTGCCATAGTTCATTTTCCTTTGGAATCCTCTTTATTTATCCATTTAAATTGTAAAAATGGAGCCCGAGCACCTATCTTCCCTTCATCTTTTACCGCCTAGTTTCCCCTCAAAATTCTCTTTTATTTCCCTCCACTCACCTTTCAGATGCCACCTCTGCAAATAGTTCTTTGTCCCTGGACACTAAAGAACAACAAAACAGCTAAAACTCGGGAAGTTACAAATCTGTCGAAACTTCAATAAAAACACAAGACAAAGTAGCCAATGTAGGTGTGGGCAGCAAGCACTCAGGTTCTCCTGATTAATTTCCCTAGTTCTTATTCTAAACACTTTGGTGAGTGTCATCTCTGTATGTACTCACACATTTCTGGGGAAGGACCCTCAAAGCTTCCTGTTCTCTGAATGAGCGGTGGCCATCACAATGCACTTTGCAGATGCACCCAAATATGTCTTTCCGATAGGTACAGTGACTCTCTCCAAAAAGAAGGGGTCAGTTCCCATTCTCCTGCAAGATGCCAGCTTCTATACGCCACCTAGAAATCGAGCTGTTCATCTGTCAGTACTACCACAGAGCGCTGTCTGTATACTTCGTACTGACTTCTGTAGAAATCTTACCTCCTCTGTCAGACTATGAGCACCTTGAAAATGCCATTTATATCTGATCCATGTCTGAATCTTCTAATGCTTATCTAGTGCCCAACAGACTATTCAATACATATCTATTGAATAGATATTCAATATTGAATAGATATTCAGCTATTCAATACATATCTATTGATTTTATGAACAGATAACTGTAGCTATTTCTCAGGAGATCCAACCTGGATACCTGACTTATTAAAGATGATAGCAAGAATGACTCCATATAATTTCAAAAGTATAAGAGAAATGAGTTGCAAGTCAGATTTCGACTAAAGATTAAGGAAGATAAAGAAAACTGTAGTGATCAGTGAATGTTCAACAATGAAATCTGTGAAATTCTTCTGTAGGATGCGCTAGGGATGTTGGATTAGGGCTTGGACTGAGGGCTGAGTAGGGTACATCCAAAACCACTTCCAACCTTACTATTCTGTGGTTCTAAAACTCCCTCCACCATATTCCACTGGGAGCCTAAGCTTACTAGTTGTGTTTCTATTAACAGAAAACTAGAGGAATATCATATGTTCCAGGCTACTCACCAGAGTAACTGCAAATGCTGATGGCCACCAGCAGGAACACAGTGACCAGCTTCATGACAGATTATCTGTGATATTCACTTGGAGTTTAAAACTGAACTAGAAAACCCAGTGAATTCACCGAGCCAGTGGTTCCACTTGCAGTATCAAGTGTAACCGCTGCTCTTGTACACGCACGTATTTATACACCCACCAAGGACCTGAATTTCAGTCACTACCACTTGACTCGCCCCAGCAAGGAAGAGCATGAAGGTCATGTTTCTTTACTCAACACATTAGAGGTTTTTCCGCTCTCCCCCACGTTCTCATGAGAAACAAAGCCCGAACTTAAGCATTTTCAAGGGCCTCTTGCACAAGTGCTGGCCCAGAGATGCCAGAGGTTGGCAAAGAGCTCTGAGAGTCCTTTGGGAAGAACACTGAAAAGAAGAGAAGGCTTTATATTTAGATTTACAAGAGTGAAAGTTCTGTTGTTTCCTCGCAGCTTCGAATTCATTTAAAGTTCAAAGAATTATTACCTGATGAGCCACTCAGTTGTAGAAGCCATCTGGAGGTCCCATCAGCCCTAGTATAATACAGACTCAGCTCAATGGCATTTAGTGGCATATTTCTCTAGAATTTGCTTCCACCCACCCCATCTGCACTCACACATTTACTACGGCAAATTCTTTTATTTATTTTTTTTTCCTAGTGTCTCTTGGTTATTTGGGGAAGCCCCAGGGTGTGCTATCTCTGTGCTCTCATATAGAATAACAGGCTCAGGATTTAAAATCAAAAATGACTTTTTAAAAGCCTGGGATTCAATATTTATTTCTTTGTGTAATCGAATCAGTATTGGTCTCTTCATCTAAAATAAGGACATTAACAGCAGGACAGTCCCAAAGGTGTGTGACCCTGAGGGAAAAAATTGCAAGACTCTATCTATATAAATAATTTCAATTACCAAAATATGCATTACAGAACCATTCTGAAAGTTCAATCCCTTATAATAATGCAAAAGAAATATTATGCTGGCTGCAGGAACAATCTGCTTAAAAGGCTGCCCTCCTTGAAACCAGGACTCAGCCATGGGGACCTAGAATGACCCTATTTGTAAGCCCAAGTCCTGGAGTTCCATGGGGTACCTGGTGCCTCACGTGCAAGGAAGTGGGGGGAAAAGAACTTTGAGGGAAAGAAGCAAAGATCACACTTACTCACTCACTAACAAAAGTATCCATATGTTTACACATAGAAAAAAATAATATATGCATATGAACACACACAAATCACATATAATCATCAAGCACTGCTGTTTTCACTTATTTGTTTAACAAATATTGCACATCTACTGTGTGCCAGTTCTTGAGTCTGGAACTAGGACTGGAGCAGTAAACCAGACAAGCAAATTTCATGTGTTCATGGAGCTGGCAGTGTAATGAGATAAACAGATAATATCCAGGTAAACAAACAAAGACAAGAACTAGTGGTCAGTGCTATGAAGAAGCCAACAGGCTGCTATGCTACAGAACAAGTGCATTGGGGGTCCATCAGACGTGAGAAGAGACTTGGACTTGGCTACTTCTATGTTATGATTCATTGCATTAATCATGTCTTTTTATTTTATATTTTTGGTGCTTTGACATGTTGGGGCTTTGCTGACCCTGGAGAGGTTGTCTCTGGCCAGGGCCAGCTAATTCCTAGAGACTACAAACAATGCCCCTGGGTGTGCACCTTTTATATGCAAACCAACCAATCCATAGCCCATGTTGTCAACCATGCCCTTTAAAGGCCACTATTTTGCTTCCCCAATTACCCTGGGCCAGGTATGGGCCAGGTACCAGACAATGAGGGGCAGCCCCTGTGCCCAGAGCCCACTGAAACTATTCAAACTAGCCTACCCTAAACCTGCCTACCCTGTCTCCCCCATCCAGCCTATGGAAACCACAATAAAGGCTTTTGCCTACTCCTAACAAACCTGGCGCTTCCCGTGCATTCCCTCCCCTGTGGCGTGGCATGCCTCCTTCTCTTGGGATCTGTGAGTATAACAAACTATCTTCTCAATGGCAATCATCTCCTGATCTGTTAGCCTGAATAATAATAAAACATATTTTAAAACAGCCATCTAGCCTTTCTCTGTGACTTTGTTATGGTGCTGATACTGTCTCTCTTTGCAGCATAATTATTTGTAGTGTCTTGTTTCCCAGGACTAATCTGTAAACATCTTAAAGGCAGTCTGTAGTGTTCATGTTTGGATCCTAACACAGAGCCCTACACACTTGATACTATTATTAGGAACCACTGATCAGTGCCAGGCAACACACTTTGCATATGGTATTCATTTCATTCTCCCAAAACCACTGATAAGAGCTTTTATCCCATTTTATAAATGAGTAGTCTGAAGCAGGAAGCAATGACTGGCCAAAGTCAAGTAGAAAATATTGTGACCAGAATTCGAGTCTTTTCTTTTCTGATTTGTATTTCTTTACCTTCAAATAATTAATATGCACTTCCAATAAGCATTTGTTAAATAAATTAATTCATGAAGAGAAATGAAAGGAAACAGAAATGAATGTCGGTGTTTCTCAATTTTGGATGTGCTTTTCAAATAGATTTTTTTGGGACATTAAATTTATAATTGGGAGTAAAAATTCAATTAGCCATTCAACAACTACTTATTGAGCACGTTCGATATATCTGGTTCTGCAGTAGTTTCTAGGAATACAGCAGTAATAAATCAGGCATGATTCTTGCCTCATTTGAAATATATTAAATAAAACTGTAAGAAGCAGTTGGTAAGTCTTTTTTTTTTTGTCTCTGTAAGAAGAATAACAATTATAAAGAAGTCACTGAATGTAGATGCAAGACACTGATCAGAAAAAGAAAAGAATCAGCCTGAGATTTTATAATTTCACTCTTCCTCCTAGCTGAAGGGACAGTCACTGCAAATCACACTGGAATATTGAACTAGAGCCTGCTGTCTTCCCTCTTCCACTTGCTGCAAACGGGATGGTCAAAAGCTGCCTAAACTTAAACCTATATAAAAAGGAGGAAAGTCTTAAAATGTCTTTAAAAACACCAGCATTTAACATATAATCAAGCGTCACAGTTCAGTGTATAAATCTCATGAAGCCTGGAGAAGAGCAAAAATATGTTTCTGGCTCCTTCCGTATTGATCAATTCCTATTAAGTGAAATCAGTTCATTGTCATTTGAGGCTCACTTTTAGCCCCTTTCCTAGACACTGCAGGGAAATCCAAATAGAATGTGAGTCCAGGAGGATTTAACACAAGGAACGACGGGTAAACCAAGAGCCGATGGAAGAAAATTCTAAAGAGCATCAGAAGGAAGATAAGTGATTAGTCTAGGCTTGATTTTTCAGTGAAGATTTCATGAATGCAAGTGGCTCTTAAATTCAAAAGTCTGAATAAGCCGAGAAGATAAGAAACAAAACTGGATTTTACAACGTTTTATTTTAGAAAACAAATTGAGACAATCCTGTGGGCTGAAAAGAAAGATGTGTGGACAGTGTGTCATTCATCTTTCTGTGCCCAGCACTGTTCATTCAGTGTCTGACCATGGTAGATGTCAAACAAATGTTTAGTTTACAACCAAACAATGAGTTGTGTCAGGTGAGTTAGATGAGAAGGAATGGCTATAAAAGACTGAACTCTGTCTAAGACTGATCTGGCAAGACTTGATCAATAGTGAGAAATATGGGTTCCTGAGCAGGGGGAAACATGGTCATAGGAGTTTATAAAGCAGATCAGTGTAAAGGGAGGCATAAAAGCCTTTCAGTGACTTGGAGCCTCGGCCCAGATGACCACATACTACCAATCCATGGCCCACTTCCACATTCACAACTAATGTCATTGTCTTGTTAGGGGACTAAGATAGCATCTGTTATACCTTACTTCAACCAAGATGTCAACCCTCACAGAGGGCAGCTCTTCAGTGTCCAGCAGGCATTCTCCACACCATGAACCTGTCCTAAGTCCTGCCTTTCAACTGTCCTGTGTAGAGGCAAAACTTCACCATGTACCCTGGCAACCTTGCAGGGATCCACGCAGGCAAAGGGTTGAACCATTGCTTATCTGAGACTTGGGGGAACGCCTGTGACCCAACTGGAAACCAAGAGGATGGGAGGCCTGTAGGAGTTGCTATAAGCCATTTCTCACTTGCTTTCCCATCCCCCCTGGAAGGCTGTCAAAAGACATTTCTCATTGCCTCTCAGGGTTTTTCTGCCCTACCCACCTCGGAACAGAGCAGCAGAATATAAAACCAAACCTCTTAGCTGTAGTATAGAATTGACTCCTCAGAAACAGGATGTCTCACAGTTCACACTGCAGTCATCCAGTTCCTCTTGTTTGGGTGTCATCTTTTTTGATGTGTGAGACAAAGCTGACAGGGAGCTCGAACTTTTGGGTTATTCTTCTCGTGGCTGTCTACGGGAGTGATAAACTGAGGTTCACTGGATCTTTAGCAGTGGAATCGGTCAGGCCTTGCCTTTGCCTCATCCGATTATATGCGAGCTTGAAACACTGCCAATAAACAGCCAAACTGCACATTTTCCAAATGGGTGCGACTCAAAATAAAACGTCAAAAGTTCGCGGTGTACTTGACCAAGTTACGGGTCCTCACTCAGTGCCTCGGCTATAAATCATTTCCCACTCTCCAATGTTTATACTTTGACTCTTGTGACCAGAAGTACAGGGTGGGGAGGCCTTTTTACCAAGGCATGTCAGCTCCTGTCAAGCCTCACACAAATGTGCATAATGGATGATGTTTGCTCAACAATGTCTCCAGCTTCTCCAAATCTTCCCAGTGCTGAGGCTGCTCCTTTGTTCCTTGAATGCCCTTATTCTTCCATTAGTGATTAAGAGCACTGGGCCTGGGACCAGCTTGTCTGGATTCACATCCTGGCTCCTCCACTAGGGAAGCTAACTTACCTCTTAGGCCTCAGTTTTATCAACTAATAAAATGAGGCTGCCAGACTTTTCCACTGTATTCTCTCTCCTGCTGTAATTAAGTATTTTGTGGGAAGGTAATTTGATACTATGTAAATATCTTATTCCTAATCAAACTT